TGTGACCCAGGGTGATGACATGGAGCAGGGGTGGCACACCGCTGCATACGTGCCACAGCAGGTTGTTTGTATCACTGAAATCTCTGAAAGGTTCGCCATCACTGACATAAAGTATTAAGGAAATGGTCGCAGGGGCTGTTGAGCTGAAAGATGAATCTGGCCACCTCGGCTCCTCCCAAGGACTGTCCCCGCCCCCCCACCAAGAGTTGATTATGGAAACTGAGGTTTCAAATGCATGTGAGAAGCTGAGCACATTTCTCCAACACCCATACAAAGACACTATAGGAAGAAAGAGAGGGGAGGGACCATATACCACTATGCACAATCAGACAGTTCTGCACAAAGAAAAAATTGCAATCCAGTGTAAACTTTTTTTTTGTCTTTTTGAGACAGCATCTCACTATGCAGTTCAGGCTGGCCTTGAGCTCACTTTGTAGCCCAGACTGGTCTCGAACTTGCAACGATCCTCCTGCCTCAGCCTCCCGAGTGCTGGAATTACAGGTGTGCACCACCACGCCCGGCAACATAAACTTTAAAATGTGTATGTAAAGAAGCATACACATCTAGGAAGCAAGAGCACAAAGCAAACATACAAGTGCTCAGGGAAGAAAGTACCTGATAGGAGGAAACCATGAAACAGGAGGTGGTAGAATTTAGGGAAGAAGTAGAAGAGAAAAATAAACTCATTTTTAAACTGAAGAAAATAGCAAGAAATGAGAAAAATGACAATAAGCACAAGTGTAAAATTATCACACTTCTAAAAGAAAAATAATAAATATCAAAGTGTTTATAAGACAATAGGTAGTAAATTAAGTCAATATAAATTAGAAATGAAACCCTTGTGTACCACTCTGCTCCCACCCAGAAATAGCTTCTCCAGAGACCAGTGTGCTCATGGAGGACTTGCGCCAAACCCACTCACAGGGCCAACTCCACCACCCCATTTTTTCACTTCTTTTTGTGGTACTGGGAACCGAATGCTGGGCTTTTCTTCACGCTAGGCGAATTCTACACCACTGAGCTGCACTCCCAGTCCTTCTTATTTTATTCTGAGACAGGGTCTTACTACATTACTTAGGCTGGCCTTAAAGTTGAGATCCTCTTGCCTCAGCCTCCCAAGTAGCTGAGATGACAGGCATGTGACCCCATGCCCAAATCCACCATCCCATTTTATCCTTCACATCTACAAGAGAGCAAATCCGCACCTGGCTGGGTAGCTGGGGATAGCAGTGCTAGGTAGGGTTTTACCGAAAGGATTTTCTGCAGCTGTTCGTCATTTTCAACCACCAAGATGTTCACCTTGGCATGAGTGATGACAAACTGACAGGCGTCAGCGGAGCAGGTGGAATAAATACCGACACAGAGGCCCCTGGGAAAAGAAAACACATGTGCACGTGCGTCCACACACCTGGCGGTGAGAGGGCCTGGCAGGTCAGGGAGGGGCAAGGTCTGCAAGCAGATCTTGAGAGCAAAGCTGCAGCACCAGCTTCCTTCCTCCCCGGCTGAACAGCAATGAAAGTAACAAAAAATGCTAAGGACCAGAATGGCGGCTTCCTGGGTGTTGTTACAACAGCTCACAGGACTCTGACAGTTCCCGGTGAGAGAGAAGGAAAACGAGGAGCTAAGGGTGGTGGTGCACACATGTAATCCTAGCACTCAGGAGGCTGAGGCAAGAGCTAGTGATCTCCGGGCCAGGCTGGGCTACATAATGAGTTCAAAGCCAGCCTGAACTACCATACATAGCGAGACCCTGTCTCAAAAAACAAAGCAAAGCAAAACAAAACAAAACAAAGCAAAAGGCAGGCATATGAGGCTGATTGTTCAAGGTCACACCACAAGTGTTAGGCTTGGATTATGTAGTTCAGGCTGGCCTCAAATTCATTGCGATCCTCCTGCCTCAGCCTCCCCAGTGCTAGGATGACAGGCATGTGACACCACCATGTCCTGACATTCACAGTCTTTTCTTCCTCACGTGGAGCCTTGCAGGTGGTATCTGTTAGGGTTTTACTTTGCATCTTCTCCTGGGCCCTGACTCTGAGATCGTCTTTACCGGTTCTCATCAGTGAACTGAATTTATCCTTTGAAGAGTTCAGGGCCGAGTGTGCTAGTGGGGGTGGGGCCCAGGTGGAAGAGGCCTGGTCAGGGGCAGGGCCCAGGAGGGTTTCTCTCTGCTTCCTGAGGAAGAGGGCTTCCAGACCCACTTCAAAGCATGGCAAGAATGATGGGACAAGTGTGTTTGACGCGAGAGGGCAGGATGTGAGGGGGATTTATGGCAAGGTGGCTTTTACTACAATAATTTTTGGTTTTTTGAGACAGGGTCTTGCTATGCAATCTGGGCTGGCCTGGGACTTGCTGTGTAGCCCAGACTGGCCTTGAACTCGAGGCGATCCTTCTGCCTCAGCCTCCCAGGTGCTGCGATTACAGGCGTGCGCCACCACGCCAAGCATAAAGTTTTATTTTTCACTTACACATCCACAGTATTCTTCTGCCACACCTTGTATTTTGCCTGCTAACCTGGGACTCCAGCTGAAAACCCTCCTTGCGTTTGAGCCACCCCATCAGAACCTGCCAAGGCCTTACCCTGCCAAGATGGAACCCATGGCTGCAATAAACCACTCCACGGAGTTGAAACCCAGGATGCCGACGCCGTGGAAACGCTGCAAGCCCAGCTGGAAGGGGAAGAAACAGACAAACAGAAACACATACACACAGACATTTCACTTCTGGCTGTGACTTGATCATCAGGATGTGAGAAAATAGACTCAACAGTGGTCACAGTGGGCAGAAGCCAGCTTGAGGCTGAAACGCAGGGTGGGATGCTTTTGTCTCTGGGGGAGTCTTGGCCATCCTCTGCGTAAGACCTCGTTTATTTATTTTTATTACTGTGGTAAAATATGTATGACATGGGTTTCACCACCTCCGTTATTTTTCATAAGTTTTTTAAAAATGGTTTTACGAGACAGCAGTTCAGGTTGTCCTTGAACTAATCCTGTAGCCCAGGCTGGTGGTGATTCTCCTGCCTCAGCCTCCTGAGTGCTGGGATTACACACGAGCCGCCACAGCCGGCTTTTCGCCAGCTGTTGAGCGTTTGGTTCAGGAGCACAAAGCACATTCACATGGTTGTGTAGCCATCACCACCATCCGTCTCCAGAGCTTTCTCATCTCCCCAAACTGAGGCTCTGTGCCCTGAAACCCTGACTCCTGCCCCCTCCCCAGCCCCAGCACCACCGTCCTCCTTCCTGTCTCTGTTTACCTGAGGACTTTATGGACCTCCTGGGTGTGAAATCCTGCATTACTTGTTCTTTCGTGACTGGTTTATTTCATTGAGCAGCATGTCCACCAGGCTCATCCACACTGTGGGGATGTCAAGGGTCCCTTGTTTTCATGGCTAAGTAATATTCCATTGTATGGATGGGCCATATTTTGTTTATCTGCTAAGGGAACTTGAGTTGCATCCACCTTCTGGCTATGTAACTAATGCTACTGTGGATATGGGGGTTAGGTTCTCCCTATTCTTTTGGGGTACATGCCTAAAAGTGGAATTTCTGGGTCTGATCTTCCAGTGGCTGCACCACCTGACACCCACCGGCAGTGCAGCGGGTTAGGGTTTCTCCACATCTTCACCAGCAGTTGCTGTTTTATGGCTTCTGAAGATAGCAGCCGTCTCAGTGGGTATGGACTTATTTTTGTTTAATACCAAAAACACTCAAAGAGACTTCACTCCTGGAAGTAAACTGCCCATTTAACAGTGCAGGCTTATTCTGAATGTGGTTGGTGATGGACCAGAAAACTTGGACATGAGCTTGACCATCATGGAGGGAAAGCACCTTTATTCTGGGGGCTTTTTAATCATGCTGGTAATGACCTGCTCTGCTCTGCCTGGGATATGGAGGACATCTGCTTGTTGCCTGGTCAAGAGGAGATGACAACCATCTGTCTCAGTGACAAAAGGCCAGCCTCACGATAGCCAGAGTGTATCCCTACTAATGTGCAGAGAGACTGATTAATTAATTTCTAACTAGAGCTTAGATGTGTAAAAGTAGAATGGGCATCAGGCTCCAGGAAAGAAGAAATGCTAGGGGGAGCCATCTGCCAGGAGGGATTCATCCCCTGCAGAAATGCAGTGTCAGATGGGGAGGATCAGGAAGACCACTAGTCACCAGGCAGCTGTGTAGGTAAGTTTGGAAGTGAACCTTTTATCCAAGAAAGAAATAAGGAAGAGGGAAGAAAGGAAAAGGAAAGGAGGAATGGAGGGACAGAGGGAGGGAGAAAGGTAGGAAGGGAAGAGGAGAGAAGAAGGAAAAGACAGAAAGAAAAAAGAAAGAGAAAGGAAAGAGACAGTAAGGAAGGGAAAAGGGGAAGAAAGAAATGGGGTCGGGGACTGGGAGATTGAGAGAATAGGAGTGAAAGAGAGAGCCCTGCATGCTGCAATGAAGTCTCAGGACAGACCCTGCAGGCCAGGCCCAGCAGGTAAACTGGGCCTGAATTCCTGACCCACTGAATATGTGAGATAATAAATATTTGTCATTTGAAGTCACTAAGGGCTAATTTGTTACACAGCAGCAACTAACTCATACATCCATAGAGATACTCTATGAAGAAACAAAAGCAAGATGCAGAACTGTGGGTCAACATAATCACCATGTATGTAAAAATGTTTGTATAAAACACATGCAGTACATACATATCACTTATTCCCCAAAGGACATGCAGGTGCAGATGGCAATGGTGGCTTCCTCCTCAACACTGGGTGGCTGAGGGGCAAGGATTAGAGGGGAGATTTTCAACAATACGTGTTTGTATGCTTTGGTGTCTATCAGGTACCACCCCTGTGTATGTATATTGCTTATTCTGAACACACGAGGACAAACGAGTGACCTGTTTACCTTGATCAGGGCCCTCGCGGCCTTCCTGCACTCTTCGTAGTACTGGGTGAAGGTGAGCGTTTCCCACTTCCGCTTGCTCTTCCACGCGAGCGCTGGGTAGGCACCAAATCGCTTGACTGCTTCTTGGAAAAGCTGAGGGATGGTCATTGGGGTCTCGTGGCCTGGCTGGTGTTTTGTCATCCTGAGGATGACCTCTCCATCTCGGCACGTGGTCCACAGCCTGGGGGCTGCTGCAAACAGTCACCGGGAAGGGGTGGCTCCTGTTTTCATTCATGTCATAACTTGGGCTGGTAGCGGTGTCTTTTTGGACTTCAGGTGCTAAGATTTGAACTCATCTCACTTCTTGAGTGAGAAGCATTAGAGGATCAACACTGGTCCAGGCAAACTTCCTCTGCCCTACTTAGTTATTTATTTTTTCACGATTTCTTTCAACAACTTATTATAAAATTTTTCAGGCATATAAGAACATTGAATCGGCTATGATGGTACACACCTGTCATCTCAGCCTTTTGTGGGCTGAGACAGGAGGATCCCAAGTTCAGGCCCAGCTTGGGCAATTTAGCAATTTAGTAAGACCCTGTCTCGGAATAAAAGATACAAAAGGGGTGTAGTTCACTGTGGAGCCCCTTGGTTCTATCCCAGTACTACTGGAAAAAAAAAAAATGTTGAAAGGATTATATGGCGAACACTCTGTTCCTCACCACCTACAGGCACAACTGGTAGCATTTTTGCTGTTCTTTCTTTGTCACATCTCTCTCTTCCCCCACTGATTGCATCATTTTGTTTTTTGATGCATTTCAAAGTTAAATAGCACAAGGCTGGGCGTAGTGGGGCACGCCTGGTATCTTAGCACTCAGGAGGCTGAGGCAAGAGAATTGTCATGAGTTTGAGACTAGCCTGGGCTACATAGCAAGATCCTGTCTCACAAAAAAAAAAAAAAAAAGAAAAGAAAAAGAAAAAGAAAAAGAAAAAGAAAAGGAAAAGTTAAGCTGCAGACCTTCATCCATCCATTTTATCCTTAAATAATTATGCACATTAATTATTAACTAGAGTGAATATTCCTAATCAAAACTGCTTGGGACCAGAAGTGTTTTGGATTTTGAATTTTCTTAAAGTTTAGAATATTTGTATAACCAGGTGTGGTGGCTCACACCTGCAAACCCAGCACCTGGGAGGCTGAGGCAGGAGGATTGATGGGAGTTTGAGGCCAACCTGGGCTACATAAGTAAGTTCAAGGCCAGCCTGAACTGCATGGTGAGACTCTGTCTCAAAAAACAAACAAACAAACAAACAAACAAACAGAGAAGAATATGTGTCTATCCAGAATGAGGTATCTTGGTAAGGGGATCTGGCCCTAAGCACAGAATTCACTTATGTTTCATAGATGCCTTCTACATATGATGCGAAGATAATTTTAAACAATATTTTTAGTTCACTGGCCTTTTGACTGTGAATGCCACATGTGGCCAGGAATCTTCCAACTGTGATGTGATCATCATTGCTCAAAAAGCTTTGGGCTTTAAACACTTGGAGTTTGTAAATTAGGGATGCACAACCTGCCTTTACAGAGATTTTTTTTTTTTTTTTTTTTTAGACAAGATCTTCCTTTGTGGTTCAGGCTGAACTTGAACTCACTATGTAGCCCAGGATGGCTTCGAACTCACTAAAATCCTCCGGTCTCAGCCTCCTGAGTGCTTGGAATATAGCCATGCATCACCACAACCAGCTATAGAGATTTAAAAAAAAAAAAAGGTAAAATTGATACATGGTGACTACGTATTCTTTGGCCAATGAAATATAAGAAGTGGCTCACCTGGCTGTGTCCTCTGCACAAACACACTGGATGACCATGTCAAGAAGGAGCCACCACCATACCCAGCACGTGACATGAGCAAGAAAGGAGCCCCACTGTGTTGAGGTGGGTGTGTGTGCTGCCTTATTTAGAAACGTGTTTTTTGTGTGCTCCCTAAATACAGTCACTGATGTCTTTATAAAAGGAATAATCCTGGTCCAAAACTCCAATGAGAGCTGTCCCTATAAAAGGGGGCTGTGTGTGGTGGCACACCCCTATAATCCCAGCACTCCAGAGGCTGTGGCAGGAGGATTGTTGGGAGTTCAAGACCAGCCTGGGCTACCAAGTGAGCTCAAGGCCAGCCTGACCTGTGTAGCGACACCCTGTCTCAAAAAGACAAAAAAACCAACCAACCAACAAATAAATGAAAAAAGAGATACCAGGCATGGTGGCACACACTTGTCACACCAGCGCTCTGGGAGGCTGAGGCAGGAGGGTTATAAATTTGAGCCTGGTCAATTTAGTGAGATTAAAAACTAAAAAACAAGCCCCTGGTACCCGGGAACCCACGCAGCGGGGTGCACCGGCCTTTGGCCCAGCCCCCAGCCTCACAGGCGCCCTGGGAGGAGGGGCCCCAGTGCCCTGGAAGCCATGGGCGGGGTGCGCTGGCCTTTGGGCCAGCCCCCAGCCTCACAGATGCCCGGGAGGAGGGCCTCTGATCCCCAGGAATCCATGCTGTGGTGCACTCACGCACGCCAGCCCTCAAGCCAGCCACCACCGCATAGTTGAGAACTATCATGGCACAGAGAAGCAATGACACAATTGGCTGACCACGCGCTGCCTTCAGAGGCCCGCCCACGGGTGTGCATGAATCATTCCCACATGGAGAAACCCCTGGGAATACATGCCACAGAACGGGTCGCTCTTACCCCTGCTGTTGAGAACCAGAAATGTCCAGAATCAGTGGAGGAGCAGCTGCTGAACAAGGATGCAGAGAACATGAGAATACAGACTAAGCCTGAAGACTCAGAGGTCTAGC